TCTAGACATCTTAATGCACCCTCCACTGGGACACATTGGTGAATATGATTTTATATCAAAGAAAAACCATGAGTAAATTACTAGGAGAAATGTTTTTAACTTTTTTTTTTTTTTTTTTTTGTAAAACCATCGAAACTAGTCCTGTGAAAACTTTGTAAATATAACGCTGATTTTTGTTGTTTGATTTCTGAATTAGTATTTATTCGGCGTGTTATTGTGTCTTAATTATAGAAGCCCCAAACAGGCTTTACTTTTGCTGCTTTTTGCACGGTGGTGTGCCGCCATTTTGTGATTGCATGAGTTTCGGTAAGTACTTTTTTGCAATTTTCAAGTTATGTTTATATTTTGTATATTTGGATATTGTGCTTTGCTTGTCTGATTTCATGCATTTTGCTTACAAACGTTTTGTTTTCTATTAATTTCAGTGAGGAATTTTTCTTCTGTTTTGTGTGTGCTTTATTATTGTTTAGTTAATTTAGTTTGATTTTCTGTATTGTTTATCATGCCTTCATCCGTTAATCGTTTCACTAAATTACGCCTGAAACGGCAAAAATTCCTGAATCATCTTGACTTTTTACTTAAATGTAAATGTAGAAAATTGATCCCCAATTTTATTCAAATCAAATCTAATCAAAAACCTTCGAGTCGCGTTTCAAGAATTCTGTTAAATTGCATGCTTGCCTTACTTCGGTCCGTCATAAGGGATACACGTCAACAATTGTCCAAAATTGTACGTGAACTCTATAAGCTTCATCTGGAACTCGCTAAATCATATCCAAATTCACTGCCCTTGAACAAAAGTCTTGGTCTAGAACGGAAATGCAGTTTACCGTCATAAAAATCATCCTTGCAGTTAAATTCGAAAAACTTCTTTTACAATCTTCCAGTTCAAGTAGTTCAAAAAATCTTCCCCTTGTAAACATCAAGCCAATAGTTAATATTTCTAATGTTAGTCTTTCAGAAGAACAAGAGAGAATTCTAAAATATAATTTTAACTCCTCACAAACCTGTAAACCCTCGATTCCAAAGATTTTAGCTCCTATCGAAAAAGCTTTCAAGTTCAGTAAAGTTTCAGATTCACAGAAAGAAAATGATTAGGCATCTTATCGCTCATAATGTGAAATTCAATAATAACCTTTCAAACCAAATCTAACTGCGAGAGAAAGAGGCTACATTGCGTGAAATTCATTCTAACCCGGATTTATTATTTCAAAGGCCGACAAAGGTGGCCAGATAGTCATGGATAGGAACACTTACATCGATGGTGCCACTAAACTCTTAAACGAAGGACCATATAATCCGATCCCTAAAGATCCTCCACCTTCGGATTTGTCAAAAATAAAAACTGCGATCAAATCTTCGCAAATCATTTCAGCCAACTTAAAACATTCACTTATCCCATCTGTTGCGAATTGTGCCAGATTATATGCTCTTCCCAAAATTCATAAAAGTGGTATTCCTTTTCGCCCCTATTGTATCAAATTTAGGTACTTGCCTCATATCCATTAGCTAAAATTTTAGTTTCTAGATTTTCAAACTCTATTAGACAATAACATTTACACCATAAAAAAATTCATAGAGTTGTAAAAAAAAGTTAAAAACATTTCTCCTAGTAATTTACTCATGGTTTCTTTTGATGTAAAATCATTATTCACCAATGTCCCAGTGGAGGGTGCATTAAGATGTAGAAAACCAGACTTCGCGAATTTCATTTCTCTTGCATCGAAATTGATGAGCTAATTTCTCTCACTCAACTCTGTTTGAAACAAACACATTTTGTTTTCCAAAAAAAATATTACAAGCAAACTGAGGGATTAGCCATGGGAAGCCCCCTCAGTCTCATCCTGGCTGATATCTACATGCATTATTATGAATCAAAATTGTTTGAAACTTTAAACTTCCCGGCATGGTTCCGCTACGTAGACGATACTTTTACTCTGTTTGAAGGTAATAAAGATGATTTAAATAAAGTTCTTTCAACGATGAATTCTATTAATCCTGCTATTCAGTTCACTTTTGAACTTGAGACTTGCAATTCTCTTCCGTTTCTCGACATTCTGGTCACACGTAACACATCCCACTTCAGTACTACGGTTTACCGTAAACCTTCATCGGTTTGCCTTCCACCACACTTTAAATCATGTCATCCGACTAAACAAAAGTTAGCTTCATTTTATTCCTATGTTTTCCGTGCTCTTCAAGTTTGCTCCTCCAAACTAGCCCTTGATGAAGAACTAAAGTATTTAAAAGCAATAGCTATTGACAGGGGCTTTCCACCCAACATTATTAATCAAGCAGTTAAAAAATTCTCATCTCAACACAATAAAAGTCACAATCTTGTTTTAGGAGATTACAAAAATTTTGTTGTCATTCCCTTTTCCATCAATTAGCTATAAATTTGCACATATTTTGCAGAAATTTAACTTTCGGGTTGTTTATTCTCCCATCAATAAAATTCCGAGTCCCATACTCAAGGACCCCATTCCGGATGTGAATTCCTGGGGTATTTATAGGATTCCTTGCCAGTGTGGTTTAATTTACATTGGCCAAACTAAGAGAGCCTTAAAATTTCGCGTCAAGGAACATGAGGCATATGTTAGAAAAAAGGAAACAACAGAAGTCTTCTGTTGCTCAACATTGTTGGTCCGAAAACCACACTTTCAGTTTTTTTCTGCTGCCAAAATTATTCAAAAAAACATCTTCCATTGGAGAACTGGATTTTCTAGAGGCATTTCACATTCATAAAAATCTTTTTCTGTTCTAGTTAACGATCCTAATTCCAATCCAAATTTGCCTTCGGCCTTTAAAGAAATTATGTTTTAGTTCTGGTTTTACCAACAGATGGCGCCACTTGCTTATTCTTTTCCAGGCTTTCTTATCTTATCTAATCATTATTTCCTATCTTGTTCATTTGCGGTTTTGCAGCTGAAGATGGTGGTTCGGTAAAACCATCGAAACTAGTCCTGTGAAAACTTTGTAAATATAACGCTGATTTTTGTTGTTTGATTTCTGAATTAGTATTTATTCGGCGTGTTATTGTGTCTTAATTAACACATGGGCAACTTTTCATCCATAACTCGGCGTCCTCCAATACCAACAAGTGGTACAGCTTTAATGATATCTTTGATATCAAGTAAATGGAAGAAAAAAGAAGCAAAAATTATTATATCTTACAATTAAAGTGATTTTAAACCGGAATTATAAGATGATTGTAAGAAGAAACGTAAATTCTAAGGTTCTGTAGCCGGCTGTTTGAATTTATACTATGTTTTAAAGGCCATCTTGTTTAAGTTATTTCACAATTCATCCTAACATTTTTTTTAAGAATTTCGGAAACCGGAAGGGGAAAAATACACTGAGACGTGCCTTTTGATCTATCCGTTGTATTGACCTTCAGTATGGTTTCCTTCTTCGCCCTTGCTGATATGGAGACAGCTGCGATTTCATTCTGGTCATAGAGGCGATAATAGCAAACTCGAGGACATTCTTTCGGCGCGGCTGATGAGTCTAGAATATTATTTTTGGTTTCTTTCAAATCAACCTTCCAACAACCAGTCGTAACTGCTCTAACCTTGAACTTCAAAAACTACGACTAATGACAAGCATCAAAATGGCACTTCGTTGACAGGAGATTCAACAAACCACGTAATCAAAGACAGACGGCTTAGCCTTTTTGTTGTTTACTTTTTTCTTCAGCGCTTGTAGAAGGATACTTTCTGAAGATTCCATTGTTTGCTTAGTACAAACGCGATAACCTTGAATAAAAGTTGTTCAAGATGTTCGCTCCTCTTGAGAAGATCTGCAAGGGAGGAGAGGGCAGAGATGGAAAGGTAGTCAGCTGTGGCGTATTATCTGAAAAACTGGTTTCAGATAGCCCAACACAGTTGTTGTACGCATTCATTTTCTCCCTCCCCTTGCTTGTGACTTTCGTTATATTATGAAAGTTCTCTCTAGCATGCAATTAGCCATAGGCAAGAAGGTAATGTGGACTGATAATGCAGTAATTACATAACTGCGCATGTCATGGTCATCAGTTTTCCGAGAAACGTAGCGGCATGCGGAATACACTATGAGGAATGCCGGTCCAAAAGTCCTTGGATATCTTCATTTTTTTTTGTCAAGTATGCTAGTTTCATACTGATGATACAGCAGAACCTGGAGAACAACTTCGTTTCTTGAAGTAAAACTTTTATTAACCGTTTCCAAGTATAATAAATACTTGGAAACGGTTAATAAAAGGTCCCTGATTTGATGCTCTGACTAAAACAGCAAATTGATCAAGGTATCTAACTTCAAAATTTTGAACATTCAATGCAAATTTCTTGCTGTTAGAAGTTAGTCAATAAATAACTTAGAATACTTCCTGGTTCTTCGAATGCCATTCAATGATATTCTTTTATGATTTACTAGTGTTTAAAATTCTTTATAATTTTCACGCTAGTGATTTAAAAATTTTAAACACTAAAAACATGTTATTAATATTCTCGTGAAGTTTTATTACTTTACAGTGATCGTACAAAAATGACAAAAAATAGAAATGTTTTTAATTTTTAATTTACACAGATAATGATATAAGTTGGCTAGGCACCAATATTGATGTCTGCCAGTGTTTTTTAGCATACGGATTCCACAAGATTCTTTGAATAAGATCTCCTTTGTGAGAACAAAATAAATAAATATGTTAATCAATACTTTTTACGACAGTGTGCAAAGAAGTGCTCATCGCTCAATCTATTGATAGCAGATTTTTTTTTTTTTTTTAAATTGATGTTTTGCTTTTAGTTGCTTAAAAAAAAAAAAACATTTCGTTCTTTTATTTGTATATGGCTCCGGAATATTATCTTCAATTTTTAAAGGACATATTGGTATTTACGCGTTAATGCAATCATTTTGGTGTAATCTGGTGAATTTTTACGGGAAAAAAAATGAATGACATAAGCCTTCATTCAATTGAATCGCAAAATTTTATTACATACAGGAATATTATTACACACATATTTTAAATTCTAATTCGATATTTGTACTAAAAAATCAATCAGTAAAAGAATTACAAGCAGATTTTTATTTCTTTTGTTGAGGAAATTTCGTAACGAGACCTTTAACAACAGATTCAAAACAATGATTCCCTTTAGCGATTCCGTTGATAAATGCTGTATTCCTTCAGAGATTCAGCAGCATTTTCTTCAATTCCTGGCAAATTTTACAAGTGGATATTTCAAACTTGAATTCAATGAAAAAAATATTACGATTTATCTCTAAAAACAATCGGAATACCACAAAATGAAAGCATAAGAAAATGGTGACGCTGCTTGACTGAAGGATTGTTATGAATATGACTGTCTGAAGAACAATTGTACAAGAGTTTTTTCCATTCTGAAAATTTAGCGACTTCTATTAGGATGGTTGCGACAGTGTGTAAATACCGAAATATCTTGCTCAATTTTTGACTTATGGGAGTCCCACTTTTGGTATTTGATTTTATATGATGAGTACCAAATTTTCCTAAGGAAAAGTATGCGAGACGGAGAACCGTATAAAATTTATACTTCGTCATTATTATAAAGCTGATTTTTTAAAAATTAAAATGCCAAAAAAAGAATCTTTGCGTCATTTAAAAGAATTTTATAACTAGAAATATGTGCCTGCCACCAGCAGTTGCGAAAACGAAGACTGGTAAAAACTTTAGAAGTCAGGGTATAGAGTTAACGATGTACATTGCAAAACAAGCAATGTACAATCACACATTCATCATCTTAACTGCTTCTTTCATTTTGGAAATGCATCTGCACATTTTAAGAGAAAGGTAATGAAACAGTGAATATTTCTAAAGAGTAAAACGGGAAACAACTCACTAATAGCTAATAAAATTGCATTACGGAAGAGATGAGTAAAATACCCAATAAAATTGCATTACGGAAGATATGAGTAAAATACCCTCTGCAAGATAAAGGATTTCAAGAATTCATTGTTTTCTTTTCTTTCTTAAGAGGGGTAATTTTGGTTTATTGTGCATTAATTAAAAAAATAAGCGACTGAGCTCTACCTTTTTTTTTTAAACTTATCTGACTTTTCATATAAAAAAGAATAAATAAATAAAACTGCCGATTTTCCCCGGAACGTTTGGCGAAAAGCTTATCTTTTCTCCAACTTCCTAGTAATTTCGATGTGAGTAAGAATTTATGTTTCTGTTTTAATAGTACACGAAATCCGAGAACTGAAAGCAACAAAAGTCTTTAAGAGGTTTTCTTCGAGATGTTTAACTCTTCTTCTTCTGCGAGATTAAACAATTCTTTCTTCTCAAATATGCGCGATATCTGTTAGTCGTAACTTTGTAATGTGAGCCTTGTCGGTTTGCGCCAAATGTGGTGCGTAACTCGAATGCGAGCTGAGCTCCTTGATAGTTAAAAAGTTAAAAATGTAAAAATCTATAAATATGGTTAACATTTTAATGCATCATAACAAAATCGTGTCGTACAGGTCCCGCATTTTAAGAGGTTATCAATTCTACTTACAGCATCGAGCATGTACACTGCACAGAAGAAAAGGAGACAATTCTGTGTCTCCCGTTCTATTAGACCGATTGACGAAATTTAATTTGCGTTTTTCATGTATCGAAAGTGTGACTTCGGAATATTCATTAGATTTATTTATGAGGAAATGTATATGTATAAATGTAATAGCTCGCTTTGGTTTATTTAATTATGGGCAAAGCACGTAGGGGTTGCCTAAGCCGAGGGATGACTTCATGGAGAACTTAAGGAAACTGGCTCGTATCCACGCTACAGATAGGGGAAATCATAAAAACGCTCATGCAGCCAGCGCGTTCGAGCTATCACTGGATCACTAATGAGTGCATTATTAAAGCCTAACTATACAACAGAATAGGAGGTAGCAACAAAAGATCACAAGAAAATTGCTTTTTAAGTTTCATTTCGATTTCATATATGCATTGCAGTCGCCTGAGAGGTATAGTAGTTAACGATGGTGGCTGTTCATGAAATTTGTAAGTGTATGATATCTGTGTAGCATGGAAGTAGTATTTAAAATACTGGCCAGCCGATAATCCTTCCGAGTTGCTTGTTGGCAGGGAACAGAAGTATGGCAACCCTCGGATTCATTCCCCCCCCCCACCGGATTGTTCTCCATCAGATTTGAGGCGGAGCTGTACGATTAGCGAGGTGGGACTATATTCGCTCGACTATTGGTGAAATTTTGGTGTCAATCCACTTTATCTAGTACTCATTGCAGTTTACAGTCATGTGCAAAAGTTTGAGACCACTACCCTTTTTTTCTGTATTTTAACAGATTGCACCCTTTTCTCTCGTGATTACGTTATCTCATGCGTTGATTGCATTAGACGCTTTCTACCTGTTGTAAATATAACATGGTCTCGTTTATCGGTAGTTCGTTATTGATTCTGTGTACTCAGTGCTGTTGTATAATTCTTGTAATGGGTAAAAAGATCTTAACTTACTATTGAAAAACGGGCAAAAATAGTGGCCCTGCATGAAGATGGCTTTTCTGAAAGTGAAATAAGTTTAGAGGTAAAAGTCAGCAGGATAGGCGTGCACCATTCTATGAGTAAATTCAAAATTTCAGGAAATTATATGGATCATAAGAGAAGCGGTCGACCAAGAAAAACTTGTGCACGTGATGATCGTGTGATAAGAAGGAAGGTCACTCGATCTCCAACAACCTTCTGCAATAAAATTAGAGCTGCTCTGGCTGCAAAGGGTACCAACGTCAGTTTAAGTAATATTTCAAAACGTTTGACTAAAGATTATGGTTTATTTTCCTATAAACCTGCAAGGAAACCTCAACTTACTCAAAGTATGAAAAAGAAACGACTGACTTTCGCCAGATAATATCAGAATTGGACCGAACAGCAGTGTTGTAGAGTGTATGATATCTGTGTCATTTTCTAATGAGTGAAGTGTGCAGCAATTTTCTGCCCGTGATAAATGTATTCTCCGCTCATTTGGAAAAAGATATGATGGAAGATATACGTTTTCAACAGTGAAAAACCCTCCAAGCCAGATGATATGTGATGCAATGTCTGCGTCTGGTACTGCTGCTTTATATTTCCTGCCACCTAAATCCACGATGAAAGGCAGTCGGTACCTTAATTTGTTACGTGAAAAGTTGAAGCTTCACGTGGATGTTCACAGATGTTCAATTTTCTTGCATAATGGGGCTCTGTATCTCAGAGCAAGGACTGTTAAGGACTATCTGAGGGCTGCTCAAATCCAAGTGCTTGACTGGCCAAGTAACAGCCCAGATTTGAATCACATGGAGAATCTGTGGTGTGCTGTGAAAAATAAAGTCACAGAGAAGCTACCATACAGTGCTACAGAACGTTTTGAAGTAATAAAGCATATGTGGTGTGCAGAGAATTTCTCAAGCTTACTGCCATTCTCTTGTCCATAGCATGCCTAAAAGGATTGCAGCAGTGAAAAAAAAAACAAAGGAGGTCCGGTAAAATACTGACTATACTTCAATAACTTTGTAAGTATTTTTTGTTCATTTATAACAAATATTTTTGTTGCGGAATTCCAATAAATATGATTTTTCTATGTGTGGTCTTAAACTTTTGCACACGACTATAGATTAAATTCTCAAAGACTGATAAGTGAGTATGCATTTGCCCCCAAATTTCCACACGATATTTAAAGGTTAAGGAAATTAATATACAGAATTTGAAAAATATAATTATTAGGATCGTATAATAAAAATTTACTAATGTTATTTTATATTATTCCTGTATGATACAATCGATTCGGTAAGTTTCCATAACAAGCACTGTATCGCAAGCGATATATGAAGACCAGTTAGCATGTAGAATATTTTTCCCGAGATCACTCAAAGAGATAATTTGTAATTATTTAGATGTTCGTAAAAATAGAACAAAATTAATGGAAAACTACAAATTACTTTTTTTTACATCTTTAAATATACGCTATAGTGAACGTACCATTTCTGCTTCATTAGAGCAGGAAGAAGAATATGATACATGTCTGTCGCTTTTCTTTACAGATGACTGTAGTTTTAAAACCTGAAAAATAAAAACGCAGAAAGTTTACAAAAGATATTTCGATTTTCACTTTATACAAAATATCTTAAAAAAAGCAAAGGATTGCATATGAGGTATTATAAACATCTTTTATAGATTATAATAACGCTGCAAATGTCCACAAAAATTATCAATTATACCTGTTACAAATGAAATTTGTTTCAATTCGTATTGCTTAGATAAAATGTTTCAAAGTAATACCGATTGGGTTACTTGAATATGGCAAAGCACACAAGAGCTATCTCTCTAAGGGAAGAGATGTCTTTGTGAAGAACATTTGGATCTCATACACGTTTCACATGGAAAAAAACACGAAAAGCCAGCCCGTTTGCCTGGGTTTGTACCCGGGCGAACCGTCAGCATTCAGTAGTCTTTCACCGCTCGATCACTGATGGGACTTGAAAATAGTATAAAAGTTTTAATTAATAAATAATACGTTTACTAAATAAACAAAGATAAGTTAATGATCTGATGTCATATTAAATGGCAAGATTGAGGAAATTGGCTATTTGCTAGAGGAGAGTGGCAAGGCTTGCCAAATCGCATGGATGATAAATGCCTGGTAGCATAACGTAACAGCCAAAGCATTTCGAAAAAAAAAAAAAAAAAAAAAAAAAAATGCTAAGGAAGTTTCTGACTTTCAGATCACTTAAAAGTGTGTTTTTTTAAACCTATATAAAAGTAATATATCTAGTTGTAACAAAAATTTCCTGCCAGAAAAACGTACTTAATAAAATTAGGGGGGAACAAGAAAGTAGCACTTTTAGTGCGGGTAGTAATTACTACCCAAATCTATGATTTTCTGCCAAAGTTTTGGTAATTTTTCAAAGCTTTCGGACCAGAAACTTAGTGAATGCGAGTCCATAAATAGATCAACCTCATTTCGGACGTCCTGTGCAGAATGGAAGATAGCACCAGCAAGATTAGCTGCAGGTGTGAAATAAGGTAGAATTCCAAAGGAGCGAACTCAGGGCTATGTGGTGGGTGTGACAAAAGATCCAATTCGCATCCGTACAGAGTCCAGCCGGTGAGTGCAGACACATCTAGTTTTGCATTATCTTGATGGAACATTACCTTTTTGCGCCAAAAATCAGTTCGACATTTTTCCCTGACAGCAGCGTCAACACGGACTAGCATCTCGCTGTACACCTTACTGACCAGGGTTCTGTGATCTTTTAGTTAGTCAAATTGTGCTTTGCGACGCTGCTGACGGGCTCATTGGGCGCAGATCAACTCTGTTTTCGGACTGCGTTGTTAAAGTAAATCCACTTTTCACCACAAGTGACGATCCGGTCTAGAATTTTTGTCCTTGCGTTGATATTCGAGCAGATTAGTGCAGGCCGAACATGTTTGTTCTTATCTGCTAGAGTTAGCTCATGCGGCACCCAGCGATTGAACTTGCATGTCATGTTTATGCCATACATACGGCGACTAATGGACAGAGGATATTTGCAGTGGCTGGAGAATTTCGTTAAAACCCGATATTAGTCTTCGCATTATAAACATATATACATGTTAAGACATTATTCCTACTTATATATCACGCGTTATTAATATTTATATAAAAAGAATACATATATGTAAGATTATAACGAAATAAGATAGCTGCTTTAAAAAAATAATTAACGATCTCGAAATTAGCATTCAAGATTTGGCGATCTTCCCCTAAATTCATCTGTTCTCCCAAATTCGAGATTTTTCTATGTTATGTAACGCTACTAGAAAAGAGCAACTAAAACTAATGTACCTCTGATGAGCTAATTACGTCATTATTCTGCTAGCTTCTACCTTGCTAATATCTCCTCGTTTCGCTTCTGTAAAATGCCTGCGTCATTCTTTTTTAAAAAAAAAACAAATGTGTATAAGAAATTATCATAATTGTTATGATTAAAGAGTATATTGTCTACGAGGAATTTTTCTAGTGTGCCTGGAAATCTGGAAATAAAGATGATAATTGACTGAACTTAATTCAGTATTAACTTCTACCTCTTGCTCTACCACTCAGCCGTCGCGACTGTGCTTCGAAATCAACACACACACACACACACATATATATATATATTAACTAACATAATTAGTAATAATATTGTTACGTTTTCCTTCTCACGTACGTACGGTTTCGTGGATTTGGGGGTAAATAAAGACGACACTTGATGAAGTATCAAAACACAATTTATTAGCCAATATTTATTCAAGACAGCTCCAAAAACACTTTTTAGAGTCGTCGAAGGACTACTGTAAACACGCTGAAGCAATCAGGACACAGCCTCCAGGCTATCAGGCTATAACGGTGGAGACAGTTTTACTGCAAAGCACCATAGTATAGCTCCCGCCTCTGCTGGGACGTTCTTGGAATTCTACGTACTCTCGAGACTTTCCGTGCTACAACTCGCGATGCACTCGACTATACACTAGAGTACTAGCTCCTGACTCGGTTCAGTCGTTCCCGGAGTTCGACACACTCTGAGATGAAACTCGACTATGCACTAACTCGAGATGCACTAAGAGATTCTCTCGATGCACTCGACGACCAATTCGGCACTAGACTACGAGACACTCGTTCCCTGACTCTTAACTGACTCGACTAGGCGCTCACTCACTGACTATCAACTCGATAGACGGGACACTAACTCTCCGCGTACGAGCAGGGCTTTTGTCTTGTGTTTGAGAACATTCTGTATGAGAAGAGTCTCCATCCGTCTACAGCTTATCGCGAATTTTGTCGCCAAATGGGCAATTTCTTGCCAAATGCGGCACCCTGCCTTCCTTTGCCATTTTCTGGCAACCCTACCTTTGCGGGGAAGCTATCTCACCGCACCTGGATGTTTCGTCATAATATCTAATGAAATTTAATAAAGGGGTATACAAATAAGCCTTTCGAAACAATAATTATTAAAAAAATAATATTTCATAAAACTAAATTAATAATGAACTAAAAGTGACATAAAATTCGTGATTAATCATTTTTAATAATAATTAATGAAACAAAATTGAAATACTTAGAAATTCTAAATAATAATTAATAATCAGTATTAAGTACATATATGTTACTTAAATGCTTTCATACAGTACATATATGTTACTTAAAGTACATTCAGTATATCTCATTACTCATTATTATTCAAATTATTAAAGTAAGTTATTAAATCTTACTTTTCAGAACTGGAAAAGAGTTAAAAGAATAAAATTATAAATTATTTATGAACTAAAAATAAAAATATTAGTTAACTAAAGCAAGAGACGAAATAATTCTCTTCATATAACTCATCTGCAATTTTATATCACGAATAATAAAAGCTAGAGCGTTTAAATAACAAAATCTAATAATCGAATTACATTATAAAATGCATAAGCCATTACTTTATACATTTATTAAAGATAACGTTAAATTTAAGAAAACATCTAAATCAAATTTTGAAAAAATCGCTTCACCACATTGTGTTATCATACACAAACAACATGTATACAAAATTTAAACTCGATAGCATATCAACAAGTAGGTTATAAGTTAATGACCTACCATAGCGAGATATAATATGATATAATATTGCTTATAATACTTATACAGGCTTCCACCAGAGGCCTATTGATTAGGACCACTGAATAATGGTAATTGGACCTATGTTGAAACCCAGACCAACGGGCTTAGCAGCGCGAGTGTTTTACGAGCTTTTCCGCATGTGTAACACGAAAACTACCATTTTACCTAGGAAACTTATCCGCGAAGGTTTTAGGCATAGAGCACTCGTGTGCTTTGCCTGATTCAGATAATCTAACCTAACCTAAAACTGGTTAGGAAAGATAAACTGAAGATCTCCTGCCGCAAACCTGGCAACAGATATAAGAAACAGCATTTTGATAAACCTCGATATCAATAATGCTGTAGTAGTGAAGTGAAATAGCTAGAAATTTTGCCGCTCGGGGCAGTCACTACATTCATCTTGGTATTATAAAGAAATAATTACAAAATATGGGAAATCGGCATATACAGAAATAAAACTCACGGTTAAATTTAAAGAAAAAATTTAATTCCAGTATTTTAAAATTATATTATTTTGCTTGTTCTTTTAGCCCAAAGCGGAGGTAACCAGGAAAAGTCATTAGTTTCGAAACGGTATTTTGCGTCAATTCACTATAAACGGCGTTTCATTCTTTAAATTGTGGCTACCAAATATTATCTTCCTGTATTATATTTAAAGAAATTAAATAATGAAGAATCTGCTTGAATGTGTATATGTTTCTCGCATTGTGGAAAACGACGGTACCTAGAGCCATCTAATTTTGAGTAATGTAAAGCTGCGTTCAGACGGGGGCGTAAAGGGCATAAGTGGTTAAAGCCGAGCTCCGTTGCCAAGGCAACCAGTCTGTGCTACGACACAAAATCTGGTTTAGGGCTCGTGGTATAGGGTTCAAAGTTTTCAACTTTACGCCGAGTTTGGGATAAGCGTCGACCAATCAGAGCGAAGCTAAAACGAAGCGGCGTTTTGCAGAAGATTTCGCTGTTACAAAACAAGCAGAGTGCTCGCGGGAAATCAATCGAGCAGAAGAATAGCGCGGGGAAGTTGTAGACACATCCACGCATGAGCAAATTTAGTTTCTCTCATTGGCCACGGCTTACACACTGTTCTCGCAGGTGTGAACGGCACTCCCGTATTTTATGCCCTTATGACTATGCCTCTATGCCCTTTACGCCGCCGTCTGAATGCAGCCTAATGCTCCACCCGAACATGGGCCAACGAGCGTTAGTCCAACTAGCGTTAGTTAATAATTTCCTTTTTAGCATTTTTCGTTGAAAACTTTAAATGTCGCTTCACTTTTCAAACTTTTGCCACCAAATATTACAGACCTATATTACACTTAACGAAATTAAATAATGAAGAATCTGCATAAATGTATTTTTGTTTCTCGCATTGTGATAAAACGACAGCACCTAGAGCCATCCCGTTTTGAATAACGCACGTTTCCTCCCAAATATGGGCATCTGGAAGCCCAAATTTGGAATATGGAATTTGTTTTATTTCATATTTTGTAAAACTTTAACGAATTATTGATTAACAAACTCAACGATTTCAAAGCAAGCAGTGGCCACACTGTATAATGCCAACCATTATCGTAATTTAGTTGATATTCATTAATTTGAAGTTAAACGCTTCGATGAAATAAAAAAAGGTATAACTACAGCATGTAGTTGTTGAAATCATGTGGCGGTGATGTCTCTGAATACCTTTTCTAGAGTAAAAACTCTTTTTCTTCTCAGTTCCATATGGCACTTTCAGAATCGAATTATTCTCCATCTGCTTCGATGACTAGCACCTATAAAATGATTCACTCAAAAATTACCTATGTCGCCCGGGGTAGACCATTCTCTCCGCTCCTCTAGCTACGCTACAGTAATAATGTAGTGTAACTTAAACGTAAAGTATGCGAAACATATTGAATTTCTGTTTCGACATTTCTAATGTCGGTGTCGAAACATATTCTGTTCTCCCTTCCCTCTCGTAAAATCCAACACGGAAAACAATCGATGAGTCACGTGAACTTCCATGCTTTCAATGTAAACAAAAGTTAATAGGTAATCCATGCATTCGGGTATTCACGCAATCAGCTCTTTTTCAGGGCCGTGCGGTTAATCTCAAAAGCACATCAATAACTGTTCATTCTACTCTACCGGATGTAACACCTTTTGACTTCTGAAAGTTGCCGATGCGTATAATCATTTTCAGGGAAATGAGGGGCAAATTTCCCCCCTCATTGTATTCATTACGTACAATGCGTCTAAAAAAGTTAAAAACTGAATTTTTTCAATGAGTCGACCTGCCGCAGAATACATAATCACTGCCAACATTCCTTCACGTTTATGTTGGCTTTAAAATATCGTGAACATTTGCTCATAATTTTTTAATTATGCACAATCTCCACCAGAATTTTAAAGTGCATATTATGAAAGTTTTTAAGGAACGAACATTCGAATCTTCAAATAAATCTTGAAAAAGATTCGTAAACTCGAAACTTTGGGCTTTATTTGAATTATTCGATATTTGAATTTTAATTATTTTATTTGAATTATTTATTTGAATTATTCTGAGCTGGATCTCGTTATACGTTTTCAAAACATATTTTAGTTTGTTCATTATACATTAATTATTTGTTATTAATTAAATGTTGATTATTAACGGTTTATTTACTAAACACGATTGTTAACTATTTATTAATTAAAGTCTTAAAAAGTAAGTTTATTCGCTAGATATTTAACTATTGAAATTTATTAATTAAATTATTATTATTAACGATTAAATGACTAACTAGAAGCTGATTATAAACTATTTATTGATTAACTTCTTAACAAGAAAAGATAACTGCCTGTAAACCCATAAATATCGACCACATCGATTTTGTTTTTGCTTTTTCTCATAAATGTTTTGGTTAGTTTAAAATGCTTCTTTTTTATTATTATTATTTACAGTGAACTGATCAGTGCCTATAAGCCCTAAAGATAGCCAAACAAACGTTTCTCGCCAATTTACAAAGTTGTCAAACGTTGTTGGTGGCTTTTCGTAAGAGCGTCCGTTAGATTTTATTACTACTCATTAGACCATACATTAAAAAATACGATAATAATTAAAAAAAAGTGGCGCAATTTCGGTACCTAGTTCATCAACATCTTTTCATCACTGTCGCCTTAATTTTCTAACGAAGATTTAATAAAACTGTATTTTTATATTTTATTTTTTTAACTTAGGTTTCAAATTTTGCTTTCATTAAAAACTATGATTATTCCCTCTCCTTTTCTTTCTCATTTATTTTAGATTTGTATATTTTGTTCGTCTGATTTGTGTATTTGTTCGTCTGGTTTATTTGATTATGACAAAGCACACAAGAACTATCTGCCTAAGGAAGTGCCTTTCGTGCAGAACTTTTAAGAACTGGCTCATTTTTATGTTAAATATGTGGGAAACGATGATAACGCCCATGCAACCAGCCCGTTCGCCTGAAATCGAACCCAGATTGAGCGAACCAGCGTTCAGCGACTTTTTACCGCTCGGTCGCTAGTGAACATACATTCCTCGTCACAAGGTACGGAAGACAGGCCGGAAAAGACCAGTGTCATTATCATAGAGACCAACGTTAACAAAATATTAGACACAAGAAAAAAAAATACCCAGAATTTACATAAAAATTGCTTTAAATATTATCGCTGATATTTTAAATTATTCATTATTTTTAAATGTCCATTTCTCTTATTTTCTTAATCTAATAATGTCTAATACCTAATAATAATCTAGTAATATCTAATAAATAGTAATTGTCTAATAATGTTAAAAAATAATAATCTTAATATGATAATTTCTTAATGTACAATGCGTCTTTCTTAATGTACAATGCGTAATTCATCTAATAAGGAATATGAAATTGTTGGGCGAATAGTTCGTTATACCAACAGATACCAGTGATATCTTATATTCATGACCAATCAAGTAATCATGATTTAATAATGAGTGGTAATGCAGTAAATTATCAGTAATTAACAGTAAACATTTAATTACAACTTAGATTTTATTCTGTATGAAATGCCTAAATATTATCCTTTAATATAGCAGTTTACTTGACAACATATTTATACCTATGTTTTTTTCCAAGCTAATTTGTTAGAAATCGTATTACAATCTGTTCTACATATTTTCCTTTTTTCTAAGTTATTACTTTAGTGGATTTTTAATTTATTTTCTCCTAATATTCTTTATTATTTACGCTCGACTCCTTTTACGTGTTTTACAAGTCGGCGAATAGCGAGAATATATATTAACTTCGTAAAACTGCAGCTGATCATATTCTCTTAATCCAATCTAAGAGAAATTGTTGAAAAAATTTATCATTACATCATTGGTTCAAAATAAAAATGCATTATAAAATTATTACTTTTTGATTTAAAAAAATGAAAGCTTTTAGATTTTATATTACGCCCAAGACGGCGTCTTTTTAACGTTTTGTGTGTTACCTTTATTTATTAAATATATGTTCTTCGCACTTAAATATAAAATTCAGTTCATCAGAAATATCACAAAATATTTAAAAAGAGCATATTCTTTAGAATTTCTGATACACAGTCTCGGGGGCTGGAGATAAAAATGTTTTTCTCCCTGTAGAGTGCTGCCATTGCTCGCTTTGAAATCATTGAGTTGGTTAATCAAACATTTGTTAAGTTTTACAAAATATGAAATAGATACTAAAACGAATTCCAAATTTGGGCTTCCAGATGCCGATATTCAGGTGGAAACGTGCATTATTCAAAAATTGATGGCTCTTGGTATCGTTTTTATTAGCAATGTGAGAAATATACATGTAGATTTTTCGTTATTTAATTTATTTAAATATAATGCAGGGCTATAATATTTGGTGGCAACAATTTGAATAGTGAAACGCCAATTTATAGTGGACAACACAAAATGCCAAAAAGAAATTTATAGCTTTTCTGAAAAATTGCCCCTTTGGGTTAAAAATTGCCGCTTATTCTCTTGTCTTCCATATACATGCAATACATACAACACACAGCATAAGAGTGCATACAAAAACTTATCCCCAAAACGAAACTTTCTGGTGGCTGTAAGTTGGTTTTTTTCTCCAACATACAATGGAGGAAAAGGGTATTTGAACAATACAAATTTTTGTCATAATTGCATTGCAAATAGTGTAAATTAAATTACATTTTTATGTAAAAACTAGTTTAAATTAGCTTATGAAATATATGAAAAATTTACTATCACGTGATCTTGTCCCAACGCTGAAAAACGAAATTATGCAAATTTCCAAGGTGAAAAAGTATTTGAAAAACTAATGAAAAAGGTTGAAACTTGACTTCAAATACTGAAATTAAAAGGAAAAGAAATACAATTTGTTTTAAAAAGTAATTTTTTTAGAAATAGTTTTGTTTTAGAAAATTTTATTTAGAACGTTGTATTAGTCTTATTACTTTCAGTTACCCTTTTTATTTCAAATTTATCATTTTGAAATGTTTGGGAAGCATAATGAGTTGACTTTAGTAATGCTTGATAACACTGTAAATTTAAGAAGTTATGGCTCTACCTATTGTCAAATAGTAAAAACTTTAAGATTAAATTTATCAACTGTTTTTTATGTGATAAGTAAATATAAATCAACTTTGAGTATAGAAGACTGAAAGAGGGAAGGGCGGTCAAAAGGTCAGTAAAAAAACATTTTATTAGTAATGTAGAAATATTTAATGAACTTGCATCTTGCTCAGGGTTTTGTATTATGCTTCAAAGAGTAAGAAATTACCTACATAAATTCGGATATGAAACAGGAGGGCATCTTATGTGAAGTTCTCCAAAGACTGAACACTCTACGCAATCATCTGATCTCAATCCGACTGAAAATGTGTGGTATCTTTTGGATCAAGAAGCTAGAAAAGAAAAATTTTTAAATAGAAATGAATTCAAAAATATTCTTTTGGAAACATAGGAAAATATATCGTCAGATTTAACTAAAAGGTTAGCAGAATCAATGCCAAGAAGATTACAGACTGTTATAGTCTGAAGTCTTCTTGGCACTGATTCTGCTATTATAGATAACAATGGAAGTTTTACGAAATATTAAATTTTATTATTAGTATTGGTGTCATTGAATTTTAAGTTATAATTATTTAGTTCAAATACTTTCTTCCCCTTGATTATTTGCGTATCTTGATATTTGTCTGTTACGGGTAAAACAAACACTCTATTTTTCTTTATTACGTAAGTTATGTGAACTAGTTACTATGTAAGAATTTAACTCGATTGACACCATTTGCAATAAAATTATTACATAAATTTATATTGTTCAAATATTTTTTCCTCCATTGTACAGTTGCAAATTATAACTGTTTTCAGAAATTCATTTTAAGGGGAAAATAGTACCTTTCTCTTCCGGGAAAAGGAAGAAAATCTACATCATCGTCTTCCATCGGCAGAAAATTGAAATTATTAAGCATATTAAATATATCTGTCAATGGAAAAACGAGAATCAAAAATTTTCACTTGCAGAATAAACAACTACCTGCTCATATCATGATCGTTTGTTTCTCGTCAAGGCTGAAAACTCAAAATCCCATTTTTTGCTAAGACCTTTGTAACCTACAAGTATTCTCAAAACTGCATTTTAGATAGAGTTACTGCCTTTAATGTTTTCTCATTATACGTGCAAATATTGTTTTCTGATCAGTAGTTTATTGAGTATATTTATAAATATTTCTATTCTTTTCCATGATTTATTTATAATTTGTAATCATTAATACCTATTTGATTATTATACATTTTCTTTTTTGCTTTACCATTGTTTTTTCTTACATTTGTGCCACTATTTGTATTGTGTTTACAGCGTTTGAGAATTTATAACTCTGTACACGATTGCATATTTTGAATTTTTCATGGACTTACTCGTGTTGTACATCTTTTATTTTACTTCTTGACTATGTCTGTAGCTAGTGTGGTAATTTACGTTTCTCTCATCCTATTATTTCATTTGTTTCATGGCTGCACATTTGAAATATTACCCCTGGAATTATCTCTCTCAAAGTCATCACTGCAGCTGGACAAAATTCTCTCTATTCTTCTTTCTCATCGAATTTCATTTCAGGGAAATATTTATTGAGAAGCAAAACTGCCCCGCTGTAATATAAATATTATTCGATATTGTTTATAATGGTACAATACGATAAGCATCATCTTTTAGTGACTATTATATATATATATACTGTGATTTTTGAGCATTCGATAAATTAGGATTATTATGCACACAAGTTTTAAAAAGGTCGCTGAAATTAATTCATCCTTCTAAGTTTCCACTAAAAATCCGCAAAATTTAATTTTGAGATCTTAATGCTTTTTAAAGAAGTTCCTAATTCTCAAATTCAAATATAGGTCTTGTTTAATTTTTAGATTATTACATATAAATTTTCTTGAATGTTAAATTGCTCTTCAACAAATTTCTCTGTATCATGTTTATCCCATTTATACAATCGAAGGTTTTCAGTTAATTACTGAATGAATTATAGTTTTCAAAAGTAATGCACGTAAATGAATTCAGACTCTCAACGTTAAATTTATCCTTACTTTTCGTTACTTGTGATCATCGTTCCTCGATAAACAAATCTTATTATATTTATTTCTCGGCAACTGTATGCGTAGGTAAGGGAGGTAATGCTTTCAGTCCAAAAATTCCATAGTGAATTTTCAGTGAATAAGCACGAATCAGGATCCCCGCAACACGTTTTGATTATTTTTACAATGATGTGTGTCTATCCATCTGCGCGTATGCTTGCGACTTTTTTTTTTTTTTTTTTTTTTTTTTTGCACTGTAACTCTTTTTTCTAAAAATTTATATTTTCCATATTTAAGCTTTCTGCATTCCCGTAAATGAATTGATTATGTATCGGGAAAAATTTTATAATCAGAAGTGGTACTTTAATTGAAGCCGATGTAACAGTTTCTAATGGACAATCGGAAGTGGTACTTCCCTTCAAGCTCACAACAGTTCTTTTTTTAACTATATTAATAATCGAATACTTTACAGTTTTAGTATTTTAAAACTTATATCAATGGAAATAACATATTCGATTTTGGCTAAATGGACAAACCAGAAGTGATGCTTTACTCTAAGTTTTGAACAGATTTTCGTTAAAATAAAAAAATAATACAACAGACATAAAGAAAAAAGTTAATATGAAAAAAGATACGGCAACACTCCATTGGGAATTCTAAAGATGTGCTGCTTTTGCTAAGATTTTATGATTTTCTGGTTGAATTTTAGGTAGCGTAATTGCGAAGAAAGTGGCGTTTAATAAATAATACGTTAATAGTGACGTTTAATAAATACATGCTTTCTCATTTTAAGCTACTTGCTAGCACAGTCATGTGCATATACATTGTAATAATAGATGAGCACTCGTGCTGCTGGTTCCGATATAGTTTGCGTATAAAATAAGGTAGGAAAGAGATGAAAATGTCATTAAGCAAACAAAAGGCTTGCAATACGTCTTCCGTCCACCTTCTTTTGTAGAAGATATTTTTCTCCTTAAAATATCCATTTATACGTCAAAAAATACGATATTCGCCCCTGCAGCAGCCGAGCGGTAAAATCTCTGAACATTGGTAGTTCGGTCCAGGATTCAAATTCCGGCGGACGGGCTGGGTGCATGGATGTTTTCGTGGTTTTTCTCCATGCGTAACGTGTATACGGGCCACTTTTTCTTAGAAAGTCCTCCACAAATCAATTTCTTTCCCAAGGTATTTCCTTGAGAGTCTATAATTAAATGAAACCAAACTTTCTTCTATGTTTTTTACTATAACTTGAAGTCTTTAGATGCAGTTATCTTCTCTAACTGTATCCGTGTTTATAATTCACAAGGAGATTTTTCAGCATTCATTGTCTATCTGTCTATCCTACCTTCAGTCTATCCTTCTCCTTATAATATTGTTAAGTTAGTTTCTTGAGTTTCTTTGATGTTTTTTGAGGAAAGATCCGACAAATTTCATTTAGGTTAGGTTTGGTTTAGTTTATTAAATTATTGTAAAGCACGCAAGGGCTATCTGCCTAAGGGGAGGTATGCCTTCGTGGAGGATTTTATAAGGAAAAGTGCCTCGTATACATGTTACACACGGGGAAAAAGGCGAAAACGCCATGCAGCCAGCCCGTTTACCTAGAATCGAGCCCAAGCCGGAACTATTAGTGTTCAGCTACTTTATCGCTCGACCATTGGTGGGCCTTGCATTGCATAGGCTGAGAGGAAAAAAAAAAGAAACTTTGATGCAACAATAATATGCATGACGATTGCTTCAGAATGACTTTTGTGTACCCGTAATCCAATTCTTCAACAAAAACAAAAGGGAAACAAGGGAAACAATCGATATTTGAACTAACAATCAATACTGCCAATATAGAGGTGAAAAATGGCATAGCCTACCAAAAATAATACAAATATAATTAAGAAGATGTGTAGGTTGTCGTTAAAAAAACATGCATTTGTTCACTGAAAAATGAAATCCAAAGTCGTTTTAATAGAAGGATTGCTAAAATTATTGTAATAAAAAGCAATGCTTTTGGTTCATTATTAAATTCATTAAATATATTTATAAAATTATACCCACTAGAATCATATTAATCATTATAGAATTTTTTTTCCTGTACTATTAAGTAATGAGGAATTTGTTTGTATCTATGTTTGTACGTCCCTCGCATTACAGAGAAACGGCGACACGTAGAGCTATCACATTTTTAACGCACGTAATCCTCCACACGAACATGCGCACCTCGAAGCTAGAATTTTGTATGACGAATTTGCTTTTGATTATTTCATATTTTGTATTTGAAAGCGAGCAAGTGGCAGCACTATTCGAAATAAAACATTTTTATCTAAAACGCGTGAGGCTGTTGCCATTCGGCAAAATATATGATATTAGCCTTTCAATTTTAATCAAGAAGCTCCGCTATTTAAAAGCAATGTGTTGCCCCTACCTGAAATGAAAGACTTTTATCTCCTATCCACCAGCCTTTTGCCAAATAAGATTTTAACTTTCAAATGCAATTTGTCTATTATAGTATTACAAACTAGGGGATTTTAAAGCAATAAAAGTAGTACATAAGAATGTTTTTCTACTTTTTAGTCCGAGGAATTAAAATAAAAACGCGTTTAGATCATCAGATGTCTATTAGAAATATGAAATATTTTTATGAGAGTGCAAAAGAAAGACTCATTAAAATCGTTGCATAATTTTTCGTTTTTATGGTAACTATTTTAGGCAAGCAGCTAGTTTTTATAAAAACTAATTAAAGCGGCCGGCCACGCACACTTTTACTCATAATAAATTATAGGGCAATTTTGAAACCTAAACAGTGCCCAGGGCGGATAAAAAATTTGGTGGGATGCACGAGCCAAATAATTCAACCAACAGTTCCGGTTGCAGTTAACTTTTACCTTTCGCAGTGAAAGTTCAGAAAGAAAAAGAAAATCTCTTCACCGCATTCAATTAAAGTGTTTCTTCACTTCTTTCTCTTTTCCTCCGTCAACAAGAGGTCGTTTCGATGTCGTTCTGCAATTCATTGAAAGTAACCGGTCATCTGATTTGAGCAACCAGTTTTTGTGTTTTGCAACCAGTTAGCCTTGAAAAAATTTGATGGTACTGGGAAGTATCTTTAAATTCTGCTCATTAAACAACAAGCATTGAAACAACGCACTACAAACTTCTGATTGGAATTTCATATCCGACTCAAAATCGAGTAAGTCAAAATATTCCTTTACTTTTAATTAATTTAATATGCTCTCTCCCTTTATATATTGATGTAAGTTGCATGATATTAAATGTTACCCAGTAATATAACTTTCTACAGAAATATTGATATATTAATGGCTTACTTGATTGCAAAACACGTTTCAAATTGTATGTTTCATAAGGATGATTTCGAATTCGATAATATTAAAAAAGAGAGATATAATTTTGGGCTCATTTCTGCAATATCTTAGTGTTTAGCAAACACGGAAAAAAATTTAGCTCTAACAATTTAGTTCGTTTACACATTTTTTCTGTTTAGAGAGGAAGGCCGGAAGAAACAGCAATTTACAAAATTCAGATTACAATACAACATCTCGAAGAAAGAACGATCATTAGAAACGTCAAAAAATTAAAATACATAAAAATCAAAATTTCGTAAGCTACATATAATTGTTAAACGCTTCAAGATGTTTACCATTAAAATTTGAAAAGTTTAAAAAATAAATAAAGAATATACTTAATAATAATATTGGTATACATATTTCAGTTTAGTATTTGAAACAAATTTAAATTAAGCATAAACTGAGTTTTGAAACAGGCCTAATAATTTAAAAATTAATCCTTCAGAAATTAAAGATAGGGTATTTAAAATGAATTGTTGAAAATGGCAAAGTTATACGATTGAAAAAAAATATCATATTATTTTATCTCAAATTAACGTCATACAGAGCTTGCACTTAATTAATATAGAAAATATTTAATTATTCGAGATGCATCTGTTCCTTTATTTCACTGAATAGCTCGCTCCCGAGACTTGCAAAAAAAATTTTCTTTTTTGTTTTGGCAGGATGCGAAATTTTCAAAATGAAAATAATAAATACCTCGAAAAGGTTTTCTTCGAGATATTTCAGAGAATTCTAAAGAAAAAAAAAAATCGTCGTATAATTAGATCGCTTCTGTTCTTGAATAAAAATTAATATCTAGTGTTGGCAATTCATGAAACTAAATATTTAATCCTGAATAATTTTAAAACTCAACTCGAAAAGAATTCCATTTTTAAAACCACCGACTTTTATAACAGCATTTCGCTTCTGAATGTAAAACGAGATAAAAAGTAAGTTATCTGAATATTAAATAAAATATATTTATCGTGTGATGAAAACTAAAGGAGAATGGAAAACATTCTAATTTGTAATCTGTTTGTTGTTGCAAAAATTCTTCACAATCATTGGATTTCATATTTTAATATTTAATGCAGAATGTTAAATAGTATAGGCAAGAAGTAGATTTAGAAATTTTGCAACGAACTCGTTTACTCTTAAGAGAAGTAATTTATTTATGACTATTTTTTGTATTTAGCGACTGAACTATTTTAGATATTTAGCTAATATCTAAAATATATATATATTATCAAATATAAAATTTTATTTTTATATTATCGAATATAAATGAAAGATTATTCTCGTAGAACGTCAAGTATATCTATTGATTGCAAGAAAAATATGACAATATAAGTTCACAATTAGGAGTGAATGAGTGCACCGCTGAGATGGCTTCCGACCAACGGAGGTGAACCAAACGGAATTATATACCATCCCAAGGGAGAAATCTACTGTTTATCGAAATATAGACAAATCAGTGACAACAATAGTCTAGTAAATACAAATTATCCCAAAATTTTGAGCAGCATAATTACTGTGTGCGAATTCTGTAGTCAAAAATTACGTTGCAAGATAAATTATGTGAGAATGTCTATTACCATTAGACATCAGAACTAGTGATTCTACAAACTTCATTGCAAAATATAAGTAAAATTTACTAACTTAATTAATATGATACTACACAGTCATGTTGCAATATAATATAATATGGAAGATATGAAAGTTCGAATGTAACATCATAATTAATAAAACTAATTAAAAAAATTGTTTATAAATGCATAAAACATATATTAGCAGATAAATGCTAAATATTATTGTTATTCAATCGAAACCAATTTGTTAAGAATCAATATTTAAAAAAAAGATTTTCATGTATTATCTGCCTTATAGTATGCTGCTTACTGTTCTAATACAATATTCTCTTGTACAAAAATGAACTAATTATTACTAAATAATACTGATTTTTACAAAAGATCTAGTTCACAGGGAGTAATTCTACCTTACTTACCAGTAAAAAATGAAACATAAACACTAAATGTGCGTTCTGCTAATACTTACGGATAATCTAAGCCTTATGATAAAATTCTAAATAGCAATAAGGGAAACAAAAAGGTGTACATGTCACATATTGATAAATATATATAAAATATTACAATAATATGCATACGAAACCACTACATTAAGAGCTACAGTAAAGTGCATAAGCATGTGATATGCGTATGCGATATCCCCTGTGTATGATATATGCGTATGAAGCCAATAAATACACTGAGCGCTACAAAGGTTAACATATATGCATTGAGGTAAGTTACATACAAAACAGAAATGTAGGGGACAAGTAAATAATTACAAAATAAAACTAATTATAATCTATCGTAGCAGTAGGTGGGAAACTATTTCTATAAAAAAATGCGACACTAGACTGACGAAGATTTTAAATAAAACACTACCGATTTCGAGAACGATGACATAGGTCCATCTCCTTCAAGGTTTTTGCTCATGAAACAACGAAACGAATTCATTGACCGAGCTTCAGCAAAGAGTAAAGCCAGAATTCCCGTAGAAAAATCGTTTGTTATTTCCAAAGAGTAGCTAGCGGAGTTTGATAGAGAAAACCTCAAAATACTCTCGTAAAATATATACGCTTCAGAAACCGTAATCACTACTCATAAAGAATGTGTTTGAATTCGAGGCATTCATTCAATAGTCCACATACCTCGTGCAATTATGTGGGCTAGAATTATATCATCCATCAAACGAAAACCATAAACATTGCTGTAGAGTGGAGCAGGCCCGGACAAACTAGGAGGTTTCTTTAAATTAGTTTCCTTCCCCCTGTCTCTTGATGTTTCTCAAGTAAAATAAATTTGAATACATTAAGCATTTTAAATTTGTCAGCTTATGAACTATTTTATATTTCTAATTTTATTGAAATCAAGATAAAATTTCCGAGATCTTATTTCGTTCGTAGATCGTTCGCTAATTGCTAATGCACCGAGTAAACAACTACTTCAGATTATATAAATCCGTAGTGAGATGCTGATAATTCATATAAACTCGATAGAGTGAGGATTTTTTGGCTCTAAAAAGGCTTTTTGGATCAGTTAACATGTCTAAATAAATTATTCCTGTCATAAATCGCGATAAAACAGTTTTGCAATCAAGTGTCACCAATGATAATTTGTTCGAACTTGTATTTTCTCCCTCCTTACCACGTGCCTTCGTTGTGTAACTGGAAAGCAGGTCCGACTAGTAGCTGGGAGGTCATGAGTGCGAATCTCAGCGAGGGCATCGCAGATTTATTTATCATGTTTAATGTTCCGAAACAAAATGACTAATAGTCTCTACGAAGTTTTCCGTTAAAGTCCGAAATCGTCTATATAATAATGACTTGTCTGCATTGTAATCTATGTAATGTGCCCCGAATATTGTTGTTTTTGTGGCTTAATCTCACTTATCTAACCTAATCAGAACAATATCACAAATTTTATCATAGCAAGTAGCCCAAGAGTGCGTTTGTCATCGGAACGGCCTTGAATATCATATAGGTGACTGTATGATTTTACACCTCTGTGTCCTAATTTTGGTGAAGAATGGATCCGAGGATCTTCCACCGTTCTGCTCCTAACACCAAACCACTTCAGCCGACGTTGGATTCGCGATGTATTTTGACTGACCCCCCTGCCCCACAGACACTACCAGCTTACATGCATACATGCCTTCTCTAGGTTTCGAATCCAAGGAGCAATACAGCAGACAGGAGGACTAAAGATAGCGGTGGCCAAACTTCACGTCAGTAAGAGCCGCATTCTGGAATTCAAGATAATTCGAGAGCCGAAACTAGATTTTTCAAAAGCTACTAGTCTATATTTACATCATTTTAAAAGTAGGGAAACAGAGAGCCAGAGGAAAACATGGCCAAGTTCTGGAAGGATCAAGTCCTCCCTTTCAAGGTTTGTTTGTATCCATGCCTCCGGGACCGTACTGAGAGGGCGCCACTCCTCCCGGTCGCCGGTGAGGGGAAACCTGGAAACTTCCCTCAGCTTTTTTGAAATGGAAACGTCTAGGAAGAGACAGACGGGCGACCATTAGACAGTAACGAAAAGATCCACAGGGCCGATCTCTACCCAGACCACCCAGTTAAGAAACTTCGCCACGAATAAGGGTCACCACTCCCTTTCGCAGCACGACTAAAAATTGCCAACGCTTATAAAAAAAGTACGAGTTCATACGTCCCTCCGCATCGACCGACAGGAACCAATCCTCTCAGACGGTCAAGTATTGACCATGTAACGTCCCCACCACCAAGGACACCGACAAGACAGTACCAGTACGGTCCCTGCCAAAGGTTAATTATGGAAAGAAATGTCTGATTCCAAACAATCATTCAATGACAATTTGGTTTCAGCATATGATTTGCGTGGAAGACAGCGCGAAGTTTTGTGGTGTGTTTGTTTTCTCTGATTATTATTTAATGCGGTAAAAAGTAAATTATTTTTTCAGTTTCTAATTATCGTATATTCCGGCGTGATAGATTTAAAAATAAAGAAAAGATGAACATACTAAAATTAGATTGCGACATGTACCTAAATGCTGTTTATTTAAAAAAACTGACATACTTTACGAAATTAAAATTTTTTTACTATCGATAAGCAACCCGTATATCTGTTGCCCTTAAATTTTACGGATTCTCGAAATTTTCTAAAAAATAACATAGTTTTCTAAGCTGTAGCTGTCGTCAGATTTATTAGAAATTCCCACACCTCTCAACTGCCATAAATTTCTTACCAATTTGAGCGTATAATCAGCTTTAAGTTATTTTTAACTTGCATCAATTTCTGTAGGA